AGCGAAGATTGCGTAGAATCCACTCCTTTATAATTATTCCTACAAATTAGAAAGGAACACTGCTTTTAGAACTCTTATCAACTTCCGTAGAAAAGCAGACAAACGAAAATTTGCATATTTGCTTAACAGCACGTGCTCGGTAACATGATATCTATCACAACAAAACAATCGTTCGAACCTCGTTTCAAATTCCTAGAATCGTATTTGTGTCGCTCGCTCAAAAAGTTCCTTATCTGAATAAACAATGTGTAGGTAAAACCTACCTTCTTCGTACATCCAGTTGTTTTTTTTTTTTGCGCACTGAACATTGCATCCTCGGTGGCACGTTGATATTTAGATGTCGAACACCTTTGAATATGACTTTCCGTGGGAGTTTTTCGCCATTTGCTTTTACCGCCAGAACAACCATGAAACGTTCTCAGTTCCATCCATCCTTTTTTCAACTCTCAACCTTTTGGTGCGTCTTACAACCGAGTATTTTCGTGTAATTTTCAGTTTGAGAACTTGGCTTGGCTAAGTTGCTAAGTTTGGGGTGCGTCCTATAACCGAGAGCGCCTGGCAACCGAGTGCGCCTTGCAACCGAGTGCGCCTTGCAACCGAGTGCGACTTGCAACCGAGTGCGCCTTGCAACCGAGTGCGACTTGCAACCGAGTGCGACTTGCAACCGAGTGCGCCTTGCAACCGAGTGCGACTTGCAACCGAGTGTGCCTTGCAACCGAGTGCGACTTGCAACCGAGTGCGACTTGCAACCGAGTGCACCTTGCAACCGAGTGCGACTTGCAACCGAGTGCGCCTTGCAACCGAGTGCGCCTTGCAACCGAGTGCGACTTGCAACCGAGTGCGACTTGCAACCGAGAAACTACGGTACATCTCTTACTAGATTTTCTCGTGCTCGCTACCCTAACCCTAACCCTTAACCCTTTTCCAGCAAGCCAGGCAGACATAAGCATACATGGGTGTAAAAACACACACTACTATTGTTATTTGCTTCTTGTTGAAATTAAGAGACAACATTATGTAAGTGTGTACATTGCAAGGCTGTGTGATGTGACACCTAATGCAGCCTTAAACACCCACAATGATTCCCGATTTCCATTGCAGTGAACCGTTCATATAACAACAAATCCCAAAAATCTAGCATTCTGCTCCAAGAGCAACACTGAAAATGTGTCCATCTTTTAAGATCAAAACTTGCTCAAGAAATCAAAATTTTGCATTCAAAACATACCTCAGGGCCAGATCTTGTTGTTCGGCTGGAAAATGCCTTCTCATTTTATCCGCTAGTCCTTGTTCTTCCTTTTGACGAAAGCTAGTGTCGCAAACACAACCTTTGCCTCGTTTATGACCGAAAAGAATTCTGGGAAATTCCACCACAACTCGAGAAGGCAACACCTCGCATTTCCATTTGAACTCATTATTATAAGTGTCGGGCCACCCAGTCCTACCAGCAAAATATCACATCGATCGAGACTTTTGCCACTCAAAACTGGCCCAAAAAGCCTTGGTAGGTCCTGGTGGCCATCCACACGACTTCCGACTTGTGAACTCGCATCCTCGGAGACCCAGGGGCTGTGAGTCGATTTCAAGTTCAGGGCAGAAGAGCCCCTGGGGACATTGTCTTACAAGACTAGTTCCAAACGGTCGCAGTCGTTCTGGCATCTGATCGGTGCTAGAAAATCTAAAGTTGAATGTGGACCAGAGTCAAAAAGTGGACTTTGCGTTTGAAGGTCACAATTTATTGATCACTGGCCAGGCTGGCGTTGGTAAAAGCGAGGTCGTAAAAGCATTTATTGGAAAGGCGAAACGTGCGGGAAAGAAAATCGGTGTGATATGTTCGAGCGGCATTGCTTGTCAAGTGTATGATAGCAGCGTTGCGTCAACTGTTCATTCGTTTTATGGCTTATCCACGGCAGAATTACCTTGGCGACAATTGATTGATCGCTCGGCTGAAAATTCCGTAGTTCGAGACCGACTCAAAGGCCTCGAAATAATTGTGTGGGACGAGGCCAGTATGTCATCCCAGAGGATGTTGTTGAGGTCTAGTACCCCCGCGAGTCATGATTTGCCGACATGACGAGGTTACCAAGCCGATTTCAACGGTCCTTGTGTCGTGATTGAAATGTACGCGGACGTGTACCATCGTTTTATCGCTTCACTGAGGACACAACAAGCCGCCTGGTGCCGATCGCTGGACTGAGATTGTGTGGTTAGAGAATACAAATGAAAGATCAACCTTTGCCCTTGAATTCTGCGGTGGATTTGTGGCCGTGGGTACATTTTAGCTTGGGATTTTATACTTCGTTCGGCAGGCTGTCCGGGCAGAAGTGTTTGGCCTTGTCTTCTCTCTATGTGGTTGAAAACCAGGATTCAAAATAATCGCTTAAATCAAGTGAAACCGTTAAAATAACGACACCAGTAGCAAACAACACACGTATGGAACAAGGTAAGCTATTTTTATTTAATATTTTCACTTTTAACTATCTCTGTGGATATCTTGTAGAAAATCCCATACAAATCCTTATAAATTGTGTTCCTTGTGTGGTTCTCAAAGAGAGCTTGGGCCGCCTGTGGCCAAGCTTGCATGAAAGCATTTTGGGGGTCCAGTCTACATGAAACCACCTATCACCTCTGTTTTCTTTCAGAGGCTTGCCTCTATGCACATTCCAGCTTAATGATGCTGTCCTGAGGGCTTCTGTAGATGGAAAATGGCTCGAAAAACACTTATAAACGCGAGAAAACGAATCGATTTGAACGCATCCAAACACGAGCGGGTGATCTAGGTCACGTGACCCCAAAGTCTGAGCCCACGGTGTCTCGAGATCGCAAATATTGTAAGGGATACTTCATATAACGACGAACAAAGTGAGCTTAAGTTTTGTATGGCTTAATTGTAAGGTTCTTTGCCCGCTGGAAAAGGGTTAAACAACTTACATCAACTGTATTGCTCGCTTTGATTTGAATGAGTTTAAGACCCTCGAGATCCTGAGAAGAATAGAAGCAGAAAATATTAGTTCACATTGAAAAACATGATGCGCTGAAGGTATTATTTGAGTTAAGTACATGTTAAGGAAATAATGACCTGTTTTACCTACCTGACGAAAACATGTCCCAGTGAGCATGTCAAAAGTAAATTTAATTATGCTAAGGGCGTTTGCTTCATCGAGATTCTTCAAACCGCATACAATATAACTATTATGGTGCTGCATAATCTAGTATAAAAAGTAAATTGACGTCTCGTTACACAAAGAAATTACCTAAATGAGCCAATCGACTTAGCCAATCAACCAGACTTCGCGTCGCCTCAGTTCTCGTGTATCCTCTCACGTTCTTCATTTGTTCGCCTTTTTGAGGAAACGCTAGCTATTGTCCTTTGCAATAAAAGAAAAGTATTGAACGCGCAATTTGAAGTACCACGACCATAAACTACGAATCATCGGAAAGGTTATAGGATGCGCTATCTTTTCAAGTTGTTTCTTTGTAGATTGATCTTGTCGTAAATCAACTAATAATACTTTATTAATAATACTTTATAATTTATATTGCGCATAAATCTATATACATATAATCGAAAGCACAAATTTTCCAAACGGAAGAAGTCGCTTTGAAGGAATGAATCGGGTATCAAATCCAATCGTGCCGTTGAAATTTCTGCACAACTTCAGTCATAAAGGGTTCATCTTTAAAATCCTTTCGTGATTTTTTCGGTATTCATATTAGTTGCCTTCTAATTTCAGTCGGCCGCAAATTTCTTATCAAAGTTTTACCGAAACGCGAAGATAAATCACGAGAAACAGAACTTTCCCAGACGGTTTTCTTTATCGTTCTATGAGAAATTATTCACGGAAATCCGTCAAGTTTTTATGCCACTTTGATTTGTGCTAAGAAGACAATCCCATGACACAATCCCATGAAAAACGAAAAAGGTGTTTTTTATTTTCCAAAGTTTTGAAAAGTTTTCACGTCTTTCGGCTGACCACATGTCAATTTGTGTGTACACTCTGATTACTCCTGAAAATGACGAATTTCAGACATTTCAGCCTTTTCCCTTCAGCGTAAAGGGTGCTTGTTTCACAGGGTGAGGTGAAGAAAACATACGCATAAAAATCATCTATCATTACTCCATAATTAGCGACTGATCATTATCTATCACTAAAAGGGGAGGGGGAAGGCGCGGTGTCGGAAGATTAGGTATATAAAATTCACATACTCCCCCCACAGGGTTCTGTAATATTCTTATGACATGACCAATCAAGTAGCTTTGAAGATCGGAAATTTGAGAATGACTCTTCAGAGTGCAATCCCCTTTCTGACGAAGAAGAAAAATCTATCGTCATTAGTGTCAAGAACGTGACATCAATCTGAAACGAAGATTAAAGTCTGAAATATTAATATCATGAAAAATTCTCATTAAACCACTTCCACCTCTATTAACAAGAGAAAAACGAGGCCAAAGTAATTCAACTAAGTTTGTTTTTCATTAGAATCTAGATATTCTAATATAAGAAAATGAATCGTGTCAATATTTCCGAGAGCAGTGTACGACATTGCGATCATTGAATAGATCGACTATTGCCAAATTCAAAAGACGCCTTGCTGATCAGAGAGAACATTTAAATATTGGTGGTACTCATCTCCCTGAAAGATAATATTTTCTACTAAGTTTCTGTGGTTTAGTCAGGCCTCCATGCCAGTATTTGAAGTATTGGGAATGTGTTTCCCATTACGTTATTTTTTCATAGCTTAGCCATTTATTTAGTCGCAAAGAATCTTCTCAGTCAGAAGGTAATGGAGTAAATGTACGTTAAAAAAATACAATTGATGAGCAAATAGAGTAAAACATACTGATTAAAGAAACTCAAAAACGTCTGGCGATTTTCATATTGGCCTGGCCTTTAACCTCAAACCAATACTGAAGTTTCCAATTGAATAAAAATCACAAGCATTAAGGCACCTTATCGTTTAGAAACAGTCGAGAGTATTCTTCCCAACTTATTCGCTGCAGGGGTTGTAAGCAGCACGGTCGGAAAGCGATCCGCTACAATTTCCTTCCATGTTGCACGCTACTGAACAGGTAACTCATTTCCTTAGATTTTTCATACCACTGCTAAAAGCGACCTTGGGCAAACCACGACATCGACGGCAACGAGGACTTAAATGAAACAAAAGATCTAAAGGGCAGAACACTAGCCGGCATTTTATGTGCGTTTTAAAACTCTGTTCTTTTCTTAGCTGTCTTCTGTAAAACAACTTGAACATGAAGTCGGCCAAATTTGCGTCTTCTAAGAACAGAAATCGCGACGACACTCAACACTGCTTGTGCTTAAATTGAGGTGCGTCGCCGTAAGAGACGGTAAACACATGCAGCACTGAAATTCCAGCTAATAATAATAATAATAATAATAATAATAATAATAATAATATATCGATTTCGACCTCTGGGGCCAAGTTACGCAAGCAGATTTGGAAGAAGTATTATCATTAGTGTTGTACCGCGCTTTGCCTTCTCAACAACACCGAACAGCATCCACTAAAAATAACACACAACTGGCATAGTACACTGACTCCAGAAAGTACCATATTTTAGCAAACTAAACCAATTCAAGGCGTTTGCTTCTTTTGGACCTCAATTAAGACCTATTGGTGCTCGAATCTAGCGGCTGATGAGCAGTGAAAAACTTAAACTCTGTAAAACTTTCTACGGAGTTGTTAATCAGAATGAAAAATGAATATAATGTTTTGCTTACCAGAGAAAAGATACGCTTTCAGGCAGACTACTCATCAAGAAACGAGCAATACAGTTGATGTACATAGTATGTTTCCCTTCATTAAATGTACCTCACTTCAAGCACTGACACGATTAACCACGAAGTCATGAACAAATTTCAAAAGAAACCTCGTAGAGGTTTGTAGAAATACGGTAGAAATAGAATTGAGATAAAGGCTAGTCAAGAACATTTTACTGGGTTTATAATACATTATATTACCTTGCAAAATTTGTCCGACACGTTCTCCGAGAAGTTCATGGCAAACAACTTGAGAAGCCTCGTAAGTGTGAATACAGGTTTCATTTTCCTATATCTTTTGCCATTTGTGGAGTGACTTTCTAGAATACTCCAGAATGCGCCGTTGTTTACCTCATTATGCTTAGTCATGTGCTCATTCATAATGATACTGATCTAAAAATAGAAGATGATGCAATCATATAGAATGTTTTAGACTGTTAAGCTTGTCTATATGAGCGAAGATCATTAAAGCTCACCAAGGCTGAGATTCACTTCTAACCTAGGGCGATTGTCTAATGACAATAAAATAAATGCTACGTGTGCAGATCCAAACAACTTAAATTACGCGCGATTTTTAAAGCTCCATTGTAACCCACTGACCTAGGCCTGTTACCATGACCCTTTGAGATCCCACTAATTTTTATAAGGAAAGGTAAGAGGATCGCTGTTATTTTACAAACTGTGCAGCGGGCATTTTTCAAAATATACTCAATGAATCCTGATCTTTTACTGTTTTAGACAAAAGGAACTTTACCATACGCGTTAAAGAATGGAGGTATTTAATTTCCACCAATTGGTTACAGCTGCTTCTGTCATAGGTAAGTTGTCCATCCATCATGTATTAAAACATTCGCATTCTACCAAAGAGCGACGCAACTGTATCACTTCCCTCGCTTCAAGTCAGGTTGACTTTGATTTTCATTTCATTCATCTTTATTTTGTAAATATTTGTGTTACTGTGAAAAGGATCGCTGGTAGATTTCCCTTTGCGAACGCCCTGTGAGATAATCCTGCTCAACCTTGCCAGGCCGCAAGCGTGATATTTGAAGTGAACGATATCGTTTTGGCTCGTAATGTTTTGATAAGCTGAATCTTGAAAGTGAAAGCCCATGAAAGTCTATCGTCTGTTGAAATCAGTGCATAAAGGAGTGCTTCGTTTTTAGACAGTCACACGGTAAGGGCTCAGCCGAAGAATTTCGACCTAAGGGCCTTAGGGCGGCTATTATATAGACCTCATAATTGTAAACTTTCCATCAACTGAGGAAAGAACTTTCAGTTTCGAATTTATTTGTGTTTCATCCTCAGTCTTATTTCATCTCGTTTTTTTCCACTTTATTTATTCTCTTGCGGTCAAAGTCTTGACTTGTCCCAATCCATTCTCGCCAAAATAAAATCATGTCCCATTATTTTCGCGATATCCTTACTTCTTCGTTAAGAAGTCACAAATAAACCAGGCTATTTAACAATTATTCCACAAGCGCGCGTTGGATATGAGATGATAGATAGCCAACGAGGCGCGTAGCGCCGAGTTGGCTATAATCATCTCATATCCAACAAGCGCGTGTGGAATAATTGTTTTATTAAAAAAAAAAAAAACACCCCCAAGATATTAGACAAATCTTCTRGACTTTATTTTGTAAGAAGAAACCGGATGTTACAATGTACGGATATTAGATTATGGTATATTGGCTCATACTACCATAATGGCTAAGGCAATAAAATGTCTTAAATTGCATTATTCAATGATCCAGTTTTTAATAAATAGCTATATCTTGCCTTTTTTTCAGTCTAGTGGCTAATAAATTTTCTCTTGGTTCAGTTTTATTACTATTCTTTGGCAAAGGACAGTGTGATTCAAGTAAGTTTCAAACTCATAAATCAAGTATAATATACAAATCAGTGTAAATCTATTCAGCTCTCAATATAGTTCTTGTTGATTCCAATATCAACGGTTTTCAACTCAACGCGTTAAAAAACTGTAATTAATACATACCACATAGGCGAATAGTGCTTTTCGCGCAAACTGATTGGCTATTACGGAAGTAAATAGAAACTACTAATCATTTATAAAAGAAAAAACAGTCTTCAAACTATATCGTCTGGGATCAAACGATCTTCACAAGTTTCACGCACTAATCGCAAGTCCAAAGTTCAAGCAAAAGTTAGTCTACAATTCAAGCATGCACAACGTGACGTCATATAATACTGAAAGGACCTTCAGTATTTGATAAATTTAAATACTTGAGATGTTCCGTTCAAAAAAAAAATTGCCTGCACGTGTAATTTCTATCTACATTAGATTTAAAAAAAAATTAGGTCTAAAATTCTTGTAAGGTTATGACCTCAAAACCAAATTTTATTCGCTTGATAAGCTAGCATGTATGTAAAGGGTTCCGCTGAAGAAATTCCAATTCGTTCACACCACTGAGGTTCGAGTCTGTGAAATTGTCTTACTTATTCGAAAATTAAAATGCACTTCAGGCTATTAGTGCCTACTCAGCAAGATTGACGAAGATTCACGCACCATGAGTTCCTTAAATTTGGGTGAGAAATGAAATCCACATTTGAACCCGGCTACACTTTCTCTTTATAATAGTTTGTCCCGATGGCGTAACAAACATCACAGCGTCCAGTGGTGAGCTTGTATACCCTCAGTCAGGTACTTATGGCAAGAATGAGACCAAATGTTGGCGGATTGAAGTTCCAGACACTTATGACTACATCGTACATCGTTTTCCCTGGTACGTTTGCTATGTCTGAACCCTTCAGTAACATACAAACTCTCCGCTTCAGACTTTATTTCGATTTCGTTTCATGCTGCTGTTAATCATTATCGTAATGGACGTCTACATCCAGAGACAAACAAATTCATTAAATCATTCTATAACAACTCTTATCATATAGCTAGCAGTGCCCGTTGGCAATATGAAGCGAATCTTCTGTTCTGACTGGCTACTCGAGTAAGCAAAGTAAGCCATCTTGCCCGCTTGGGATTCCCGTCTTTGATCACACGCAAAGAAAAAAGTGCATAAAGTGGACGTTTAGACAATGTCGGCAAGCAAGGAGTCGCAAAAAGCAGAATAAGACAGTCTAAAAAAAGAAAACATCAACAACTCTCATGTATTTATTGTGCTACGATAAACATTTCACTTTCTTTTCCTACTTTGTTGCATATTTTGTCCTCTTTTCTTGAGCTCCCTCGACGAGTTCGTCCAGCGCACGACAGGCAAAACGCTCAAATTCTTCTTTCTTTTTCTTTTTTTTTTCTTTTTTTCCATATGGTTCGGAGGGGAGGGGGAAAGAGATATCTAAATTCCAAATCAAAAACTGGCGAGTTTTCTTCCATTGCCATAAATTGTTATTTGTGCTTGAAATTATTTAGCGAGTATTGCGAAAGTTTTGTGTTTGAAGATTTTGAAAGCAAAACTCGTGATGTCGCAATGACGTTTACTTGCTCTCATCTGAACTGACCACTTAACCATGAGAGCGCACATACCATCCTAATTACATTGTATAGTGCTATTGGTATTTCATTTTGATCCGACGATAATGACTGATAATAATGCTGATAATGATTATTGTTGCAATTACAATCAATCCTTTAATAACGGGACTTTCAGGCCCAACACGGTCAGGCAAAGGATAAAAACAATGTGAAAAAATGAGTTCAGAGTCATTAAAAAATAGATTATCGTCTCCAGTAGATTAATCTTCACTTTGTCTTTAAGTTTGGTAAGAACCGAAGGCAAATGATAACGGTTTGTGGTATTTATCACAGGTTTGACGTGGAAAGGTGCTCCGATTGTAAGTGCGACTATCTTCAAATAGCATCTTCCTACAGTCATTTACTCCAGTCGAAGAAATCATGTGGACGACATAGTTACAACTTTTTGTATAGATATGCCTGGAAAGCTCCACAGTACACCGAGGTTTCTGGATCGACGATCTACCTTCGTTTCGTGTCGGATGGTACTGTACATTACACAGGATTTAAATTCACCTTCATAGCCGAATCCGTGAGAGGTGGGTAACAACTATAAAAACAACCAAACTTGGAAACCAACAAAGGGCATCAATCAAAAAAGGAAGCAGGCAAAAACACAAAATGTTTTAATATTGATAATAACAATGTCAATGGCTTTATTGGTTCCGTCCACTTATTGTTTTTCAGAAACAATTACAATGAGATGTCTATATTTATAAACAAATGCAATTAAGTACTCATGATAAAGAATACCATATATAAAAGAAGGTTTAAATATATCGACGAATTAAACTATGCATCATAAAACTTGCATTGAAATCACCACTTGTCTTTCTTAAAAACTTGAGGAAACCACCTAAAGGAACCCATAAAGGTTATATCCCACATGGTCTTTGGTAGACTGTCCCACAGAGAACTGCCCCTGTATCTAAACGATCGCAGTGCTGTTGTTGTTCTACAGGGAGGCAAATTAATCAGGGTTAATCAGGAGATTTTGTGAACAGCTCCAAGTAGCAATCCTTTGCAGGTCTTGGATCTTTTGCGCCTTAGCCACCCTGTCTCTTGGACTCGAATCGAAACCATAC